CCCCAAAACCCCAAAACCCCAAAACCCCAAAACCCCAAAACCCCACTAATCTAAAAGAGTATAATAAAGGGAGAGTCTATGAAATCAATGATTAACTTCAAATATAATAAGTCAACAACATCATAATCAATTTTACCTTTCTTGTTCAGCAAGTGCTCTTGCGGTGTTTTATGGTTAAGAAGATGATGATACTGGTTATTATTGCTATTATTGATTGCCACCACCTTATCTTCTTGGATCAACACCTTGGAAATTCTTATAGAAATTAGTTGTCAAATCTTTGTGGATTACTCCAATAGTCTCAGGTAACTCACCAATATAAGTAGCAGGTCGTCCTCCATAAACAGTAAATGGAGGTACAATGGTATCTGGTGGCAGAATAGATCCATCAAGAATTCTGCAATTATCTCTTAAAATTGACCTGTGTCCAATAATACAATTCTTTCCAATATGGACATTATTTCCAATTTTCAATGCACAAACGATAGAGGCCTTATCAATATAAACATTATCTCCAATAGATAACTAAACATATTTGAGACCTTTTTACTTAGTTTTAGTATATGTAGGTCTAATTACAACATCTTCCCTTAAAATCACATACTATCCCATCTTAATTTAGGCTAAATCTCCTCTAAGAATGGACATACTTTGAATCACAGCCTTACCTTCAATTATAATATTCTCAGTACCTGTAATAAATTAAGTCTTATCAATTGATACCTCTGATTAAACTTTATTTACTGATCTTATTGTATTTACTAGTGAGTAGATACATAGAGTTATCATAATAGATTGGAGTTGCTTCCATTTAAATTATTAATTCTGATTGTATAAAATTATAAAAATCAATTTATAAGTTTAAGAAATTTCATCCACAATTTATCAAAATTAAGCGACCTAAATTTAAAAATGCAACACTTAAATTAAAGCACCTCTAAAATAGAGAATCAGCATGATATAGATCTTAATGATGAGATTAATCTTTCTCAAGAAATGAAAAATTAGAATGTGTTTGGAATTGAACAAGTACCAAATAGAAGAGCATATGGTGGATCCTTGTCAACAGTTTGAGAAGAGGAAACATTGCTGGATAAAACTCAAATTTTCCAATTCAATTCATCTGCGAAAAAAAATCTAAATTTCAGTGTGATTCAAAATGATGAAGATTAAAGAATTTAAGAGAACTAATAATAGGTAGCCTTAGATTAAAATAGCTTACTGAATAAAAGAAAATCAAGAGTAGAGAATATATTTTAAATTTCGGACAAGATAATTGAGTTGAATCAAATAGATAATCCAGATCATAACAATAGCAATCACTCAGAGTTAAATATATAGACATTAACATCAAATATATTCACAAAGTAAAAGAAACCAACGAAGTCTAGAGCAAAGAAGAATCCTTAGCAAACACTACTGACTGATATTATTCCATAACAATAAGATGATAATTAGAGTTAAAATTCACAAAAAGTAAGAAAACCAAGAGCTCCTCGTAAACCAAAGGAAACAGTGAAATCTGAAATAGAATCTCAGAAAGATAATAATGAAATCGGTGAAGAAAATATAATAGATCCTTTAAATAAACCAGAGAAAAAGGCAACCAAGAAATAAACATAAAAAGCTGGCTAGTCAATTAACAACAGACAACAATTCTATGTTAATTCTCACATTAGATTAAAATAGCTGCTTGATGAAAATGTAGATTAGCCTGACAAAACTGTACTCATAAACGAAAGAATTATAGATATTGATTGATAGATAGCAGAGCTAATTTATGAAAAGAGGAAGTGCATGGATTATTAAAAGTAGTTCTAGTCTTAGTTGATTATGAATATCTAGGAAAAGGAAAAATCTCCTTTGAAAGAGCAGGAATGCTTAGATAATCAAAGAGAAGAAGAGTCTATAGGGAACTATCATGAACCTAGTGGGATTGCAGAATATGAAATAAATGATAATAAGTGGAAATACTAAAGAGACAACAAGATTATTGATTTTCAATTCGAAATACAAGAAAAGATTAAATTGCTTTAAGAGTAACGAGAGAAGGAATAAGAAATAAAATTCTAAGAATACATGGAAAAATAATAGCCGATTGAGGAGATTTAAAAGAAGATTCCAGATAAGTCATCATCAAGAGCAAGTTTTTAACAAGAAAACATAATGAATGTAGAATTAGAATAACTAGATAATCTTGATTGCATTCTGGAAATGCCAAGTATGAGCTAAATAAATTCTGAAAGTCATAGTATAATAAAGTAAGCCAATAGCTAGATATCAGAGATGGGGCTTTAAGATTTAAAAGACCAAATATTTAACAATGATTCTGAAAATGAAAACTAATAATAAAGCAGAAGAAGAATTTAATTTCAAAGCAATTTATTAGAGAGCAAAACTAACAATAACTTGAGTAGTACTTGATCTAGCAAAGTCTCATTTGATAATAGTAAAAGCAAAATTATTAAATAAGAAAGTCCAATAGTTATGCATCGTGAGTCTATCAGGTCAAGATAAAATACTGAGTTTTTATGTACATAAACCTTACAAGAAAGGTTGAAAGCTTAAGTATTAAAAAATTAAAATCATTTTCTATTCAAGAAAACCCCCAGACAGTCATAACTTTAAAGTTCTTAAAAAAATCATAATATAGAGGAGACCAAATAAGTTCATAATGAGTAGGAAAGAATAAATATTAAATAAGATGAAGGATACACACCGGTAAAATAGATATTGCATTTTTAATAGAATTCTCCATTTTATGAGGAATAAGATGACAATGATGAATTGCTAGCATAACAGTACAGATAGTGCATATAATTTCTAGAAAAGAAGAATAATTTTCAAATTTAAGAAAACCTATAGCAATAAGCAATTTAATAAAAAGCAGAGCTACTTTAGCCTGAGATTGCTGAGGAATAAATATCGAACTTCTCAGAAGAAAAATAACACTTATCAATAAGAGATATCAAACAAGAAGAGAAAGAAGCTAAGACTAAAAAGAGAGAAAAACCAACAAAAGATTTTAATAGAAAAACTAAACCTAAAAAGAAAAAATTAGATGTTAAGCTAAAGGTTAATATTTTTGCCACTTAAGCGATTGTGAAAGTATAAGTTGAAGATATTGAAGACTCAAGAGATGAAATTATAGACTTAGAAGAATTAAGATAAAAAGCATCTGGCTATAAATTAAAAAACGAAGTGCTAGAAATAGAAAATAAGAACGAGTATCAGCAACCATAGATTGATATTAAAATTGATAATGAAGTTTACAGTGATTTCGATATGCTTTCAGAGAGATCTGAGTTTAGTAATTTTTATGCTGTTGATGCCAAACTTAATAAACCTCAATAAATATATTCTTAGCAGCCCACAGCCTACGGTGGAACCTTTGGACTTGAATTTATGAAGAAATAAAGAATAAAATTGAGATCACCTATAATGACTCCTTAAGTTAAATAGAATACTTTTGCTTTAGATGGGAATATTGATTTTATAGAGATGTAATAGTATCTAGAATCGTACGGAATCAAAATTAAAGGACTATCTAAAACTACAACAATTAGAATGTATCATGAAATGAAGTAATACTTAGCTCAGGGTAAATTACCCGAATTTCTTATTTCTTGATTTTAAATTAATCACAGATACTATCTTACGGGGTTTTGGGGTTTTGGGGTTTTGGGG